CAATAACTTTGGCCATTTTTTCAAGTTCATTATGTCTGTATACTAACTTTTCTTCAGCCTTTTAATATTCAGCCTACTAGCAGAGCATGCTCTCAGTATCTGATGCCTCTGATCGCAGAATAAGTATTAATACAGAATAACCCTCTCCCCCTTTTACAGTAAAGACCACCTAATCTACCTAGCAGCTTGCTTTGCCTCTGACATGCTCACTAGCCATCATGCTCACCCTTCTTTTCCAGATCCACTTCCTCATGATACTGTCTTCTAACTGGGCTTACTTAAAGGATGCGAGCAAAATGCAGGCTTACCAGGATATCAAAGCAAAGGAAGAACAGGAACTGCAAGATATCCAGTCCCGGTCAAAAGAACAACTCAATTCTTACACATAAATGTTTGCCAGAGTGCTTCAGCCGACGAATTGACAGCTCTGACAAATCATCAGACAGCTGCCCTGCAGTACAGATGTGTTTCCCATCAAACAAACTCATGTAGAACTACAAACACTTCACTGTCTGTCTCAAGCTGCTGGGATGTATTTCTAGGAAAACCTTCCAGTAGGTAAATCTTTTTCTTTAGAACAGATATTGGAGGTTTCAGGTTAGCCATTTTAAAAGGCAACACTTTGACAAAATGATTGTTCATCCTTCTGAAATTTGTGGCATGTTCACGTTTATTGCCAGAGCAATCCTGCCAGGACAGGCATTGAGGATCTGGCATACTCCTTGATAGGGACATACAATGTGCCAGCATCAAGGGATGAGACCATAAAATCCCGTATGCCATCTGTCCTCAAGTGTATCTAATAGGGAATAAAATGGAATTGGCGTGAAGTTCCACTTATGACAGTTGACAGTTATTAAACTGTGGCTCATCAAAGATAACAGGATTCTTACAACTGACTAGGACACAATTTCACGATCCAATCAGAAGTCTTTTTTCAATAATGCTAAAATGTGCTACTATAATTCTGCTGTAACTACCATTGAAGAAGCTGAATTCTGACTCATTGACAAGCTTTCCAGAGTCAATTTTATAAAAGATGTCATTTTAATAAAATGACCCACATGTCATCATTCTTCTTGGGAAATAAATGTCAGCTCTGCCTTAATGAGTATTTGCTGTAAATTTCTAAGAACTTATACCACAATGGGAGACCCAAAATCCTCCATAGAATTTTTTTCCACAAATGTTTTTCTTAATTAAGAAGTGTTACCTTATTAAAATGACCACCATTCTGAACCATTTTTATGTGGTCTGAAAAGTGAGTTTACAGTTTCATACCAACTATCTAAAACCTAATTACAAATAGACCACAGACCTCCTACTTTTATAGACTTGAATACTTAAGTAATTTAAATTAGGATTGGTATTTATTTCACGTTTTCTTATCTAAATCTTAGTTTTCTGGAATAATAAAGTTCGATGTTCAGCAAAAAAAAAAAAAAAAACCAAAAAACGCAACAAAAAACAAAAAAAAAAACACAACTGCTTGAGTTTAAGCCATTTTCAAAAGGACCTTGCCTTCTTACTCATTGTGTTCCAGAACATTAAGTGACTATAGGTATTGGGTATTAGTGATGGTAAACTTTGTGTTGTTCTTTATGAAATGATACATATAACTGTTGGGTGCATCAGTGCTTTTTAAAAGGGGCTGCATAATATAGGGTTAACTATGTATATTCATGTTAAGAATTAACTTGTGGTTTGGCTGTTTCCTGGATTTTAAAACATATACATGTGCGGAAATGTATTAAAATGAAAGGAAGCATACCTTTATCAATATGCTATTAAAATTGAACATCAAGTACATTTCATTTTGATTCTTTGTGTTATTGTTGTTAATGCCTACAAATGCCTAATTGGACCTTGACTATTTTTTTTTTAATTGGGAGAAGCTCTCTTCTGTGTAGAACAGTTGTTCCAGAATAGCTCGGTGATTTGTTCTCCTGTGGCATGACAGACTTTAATGTTTTTTCCAGCAGTGCAGGTGCTGTTAGAGTCCAGTGTTCTAGAAGAAGCAGTGTCTAAAGCCTAATTTTACTTTTCTAATTCTGGTAGCTATTACCAAGAATTTTTGAAAGTTTTGTTGAAGTAGTCTAATATTTTTTATGTAAAGAGCATTAAATTTTGCTATGTATAAATTTTTGTAACCTAACAGTGAATCAATATTTTCTATCAGTGCCAAGGGCTTCCTGTAGTTCTATTCAAGTGTTACAATAAATATTTGTAGATAATAGTCAATACTTGTGTATGCTTATTTTAAATATCTATTTAGGTGGAAATAGTTGTGGATGTACTAACAGAAATGAAATAAAATTATAGCTTCACTCAGTTGCCTTTTTACATACATAAATATTATCTTTCTCCGTCCTCAGTATGGTGTCATTTTTAAACACATGCATAATCAAGATTTCACATTCATACGAAATCAAGTTTATAAGAGAGTGGTACAGTTTCCATTTCTGACAAATCTCTTCTAAGTGAGAGCAATTTGAGAAAATGGTGTCACCCACTGGGCTGTATTTTACATAACGTACCATTAACACCTTATAGTTCTCCGTGAAAAGTATAGAAATTTTCTGACTAGCTTTTATAAATGAAAGCAATACACCTATGGCATTAACACAAAACTCCAGTTTGGGGAAAGCATAAGGAAGAACCTTCGTAAGGGTCCATGTGCTATTGTCTATTTTACAAACCCAAGGTATAAAAATACTAGAAGACTTATTTGGGGATACTTAAAAAGCCCTGGCCAGGTGGCTCGGTTGGTTGGAGCGGTATCCTGTACACCAATAGGTTGCAGGTTTGATTCCCAGTCGGGGCACATGCCCAGGGTGTGGGTTTGGTCCCCAGTCAGGGTGTGTGTGAGAGGCAACAGATTGATGTTTCTCTCTCACATTATTTCTCTTTCTCGCTCCCTTCACCTTTCTCTAAAAATATTTTTTCAAAAAAGAGAAATAGTGGCTGAAAACTTCTCTAACACGGGAAAAGAAAGAGACATCTAGATCCAGGAAGCTCAGCAAGTTCGAAAAAAGATCCCAAGGGATGCACATGAGATGTATTATAATTGAATTGTCAAAATTTAAAGGAGAGAATCTTAAGAGCAGCAAAAGAGAAACTTGTTAAATCCAAGGGAAGTCTCCTAAGACAATAAGCAGATTTTTCAGCAAAAACTCTGCCGAAGGGAGTGGAATGATAATATATTCAAACTGCTGAAAGAAAGAAAAACTGCTAACCAAGCATACTATACCCAGCAAAGCTGTCCTTCAGAACTGATGGAGGGTTTTCCGGACAAGTAAAAGCTGCAGGAGTGATCATCACCAAATTGGCCTTAGAAGAAATGTGAAAAGCAGCTCTGCAAGCTGAAATAAAAAGACACTAATTAGCAATAGGAAAACATGCAAAGTATAGAACTCGCTGATAATGGTAAATACATAAATTCAACATACTCTTGCAATAGTGGTGGGTGAATCACTTTTAACTCTAGTCTGAAGCTTAAAAGACAAAAGTATTAAAAATAACTATACAATAATTTGTTAGTGGACACAAGATATAAAAAGATGCAAATTGTGACATCAAAAACATAAAACGGGGGGAGTGTATAAATGTAGAGCTTTTGTGTTATATTCAAATTTAACTTATCAGCTTGAAAGAGACTGTTATGCTTTATGTAAGCCTTATAGCAACCACAAAGCAAGATATATAGTAGATACACAAAAGATAAATATAAGCATATTACTACAGAAAATCATCAAATCACAAAGGAACAAGAGAAAAAACAAAGGAATTGTAAAACAACAAAATGGCTACAGTGTAAGCCCATAGCTATCAATAATTACTTTAAGTGTACATGAACTCAATTCTCTGATCAAAAGACAGAGTGGCTCAATTAAAAAAAGACCTGTAAGTATGCAGCCTACAATTTTAGCTTTAAGAACCCACCAGATGGGGGGGCCATTGGTTAGCACTGAAAACTCTCATGTCCCAGGAAATCCCTCAGTCTATGCAAACTGGAATGGTTGTTTACCCGCAGAGCAGTTCTAGGTGCACATTTTGGTGACTATAATGGCTGAATCATTAAAGAACTTTCCTGAGATGCTCCCTCAGCAAGATGCTGCACTGAGAGCTGCAGGTGTACAAAAACAAAGCGGGGCAAAGCAAATGGGTCTCACCTGTGTGGAAGTTATGCTGGTGCTGCATTTCATGTGGTTACCTTGATTTGGTTGAGGTGTAGTTTCTAAAGGTCATTCTGAAGAGGAACATCTAATGGGTGAGCCATTCCAAGCCCTGGGATGTCTTCCCCCGGAGCAGCTCCACAACAGCCCAGGCTAGAGGCAGCACTGGTCTCGGCCCTGGTGTCCTGGCTCCACAGCTTGATGGTCACAGGCCTTGGTCAAGTCTCTATAACCTCTCTGTGCCCGCGTTTCCTGATGTGTACAGCATGGGTGGTCATAGTGCCTACACTTCATGTGGCTGATACGAACATTGAGTGAGTTGATACAGGTACAAGCTGAAAAGTGTACCTGGCACACAGTAATGCCCAGTAAACGTTACCCTCTATTCTTGTAACCATATAAGGGCTTGTGTTGATTCCCAAGAAAAAGATGCCAGCAGTGAAGACCAGTGATAATGTACTATTTCTAGAGCCGAGAGTGGAAAAAAAAATCTGTCTTTATTTTCTGGGACAAATCAGGAGGATAGGGTTGGGAAAGATGGCATTGGTATGACCAGTGGAAGCCCCACTCTGGTGAGGAAGGAGCACAGATGAAACTTCCAAAATGCAGGACAGGAATTTGAGCAGTAAGTTTTCAAAGAAATATAACCTAACACAAAATGGGAAAAAAAAAAAAGTTCATTCTAGTGTAATGAAAGGCCTAAGAATGAGAAATTCTGAAAAGGTATCATTTGCCTAAATTACTTTTGGTTTATACACCAGAGTACCAAATAAAATTATGAGAAATAAACCACACTGGATTACACAAACAGTTTTTATTGAGAATTGTCTCGTTACAGAGAACTCACAGGCCTTTCGTTGCTGCATGAGTAAGAAGGTAGGCAGCACCTGTAGTTACCAGAAGTCGTCTGGTTCTTCATGGGAAAAGCCTGCGAAACTAAATTAGAGAAAGACAAACATTTTAAAATTTTGTTCAATTCTTTTTCAGTTTATTCATGGACCTTTATAATATTCTCATTCCTTCCTTGTGGGGTTTCTGCCCTCACCTATGGTTTGTATCAGCAGCAATATTACAACTTAAAAATGCAACAGATTTGAAGTCAGTAATTTTTGATTCAATAATTTCTTACAGGCAGACTCCAACATCTGAATGGTTGTCTTGGTCAACAAACCCAGCAAAGTGATAATGCTTTGCATAAGAACACTGTGTTGGGGAAACCATACCTTTCGTCTTTGTCACTAGATGGCAGTGTGTCCGCTCGCGAAACTTCTCTGACAATTTTTATTGAGCTCTGATACAGAGGGGAAAGAATTATTTTGAAATCAGATGTGTATTAATTTTATTAAACACTTTGATTTCTCTAATAACTTTCTGAAATATGTATATAAGAGTCCAAAAGAGAGGTGACTTTTAAACATGAAATTTAGTAAGCACGTCAAACTGTCCGGTATACATTCTCAATACCCACAGTATTTCAGACTTATATAGCATATTAATGCCTCAGACAGTGCCAATGTTTTCATTGTTCACTGACAGGACTTTCATAATATTTCATTCTTATTCTGAAAATAAGATACAGCTCAACTTTATAAACTTTGACAAGTTAAAATCTGTTCAATCTTTTACCCAAGCAAAAGTGATAAAATTTTGTTAAGAGTGTAATATATTTAAAAGACTTGAGCCCTGGCTGGTGTGGCTCAGCAGACTGAGTGCCAGCCTGCAAACCAAAAGGTCTCCAGCTTGATTCCCAGTCAGGGCACATGCCCAGTAGGTCAGGTCCCCAGTAGGGGGTGTGCAAGAGGCAACACACATTGATGTTTCTCTCCCTCTCTCTCTCCCTCCCCTCTCCTCTCTAAAAATAGATAAAATCTTTTAAAAAATTAAAAGAAAAACTAAAATAAATGAAAGACTTGGGTCCTGGCTCTTGTGGTTCAGTGCACTGAGTGCTGGCCTATGAACCAAAAGGTCACCGGTTTGATTCCCAGCCAAGGCACAGGCCTGGGTTGCAGGCCAGGTCCCTGGTAAGGGGTGTGCAAGAGGTAACCACACTGATGTTTCTTTCCCTCTTTTTCTTCCTTCATTCCCCCCTCTCTAAAAATAAATAAATAAATAATCTTAAAAATAAAAAAGAAAGACTTCAGGATCCATTTAAATTTTGAATTTCCTGTTTTTACCTTTTTGTCTCCAATGGAGAAGGCAGACTCCTGTCCCAAGGTTTTCTAATAAAGCACAGAAGCCCTCATGTGCCGCCCCCGCCCCGCCCCCAACTACAGACGGTCAGTTCACATCAGTACCTTATCGTCCTTTTTCTGGTCCTGATGCTCCTGGATGATTTTCATGTATTTCTCCAAAGGATTTTCACCACAAACAGATTTGTCTTTCATTTCTTCAACACTCACTTCTAATTGTTTCTCCATTTCAATCTTCAGTGACTCTTCAATCATCCGCTGTCAAATAGAGGGCCATCAAAATAGGAGATACAGAAATACATTTTAAAAACACACAGTGATATAACCCTATCCCTTCAAGTAAAACCTGTGTGTCAGAAAACTACTTTTTTTTTATTCCATTGAAGTCATGGCTACCATCAAAGGGGGACACACCTGTGTCCTGTGCTTTAGACCAAATTAACCAGGAGTTCAAGACACATGCATATGGAAGATTAATTTATGTAAGATTCAGCAAGCATGTGAAGGGGCCAGAGTAATCCGTCTGCCTGAGTCCAGAATCAGGACACAGAAAGCCAAAGAGAACCAGGAAGGAGGCGGGCAGGGGAGCCGCAGGAAGCCACCACGGACTGGCAGCCACTTTCCTGACGTTCCTGTGGTCCCAGCCAGCTGACCTGTGAGCCCCACTTACAAAGGGAAGATCTATAGCAAAGCACAGACCACCTCCTTTATGGGTGTGTTTTCAGGACCGGAAGAGAACACCCGCACACAGGCCTGCAAAAGCCCCCATTTACTCTCAGACTGCGGAGGCGTGCAGGTGCAGCCCTCCTGCCCATGGCAGGCTTTTTATTGCAGAAGTTCCCTGCCGCTATGACCTCGGGACACACCAAGGACTCACTTCCCTGAGAGCGGGCACTTTCTGAAGGTGCACCATGCAGCAACTGGCATGGGACATTCAGCTACACTTAGAGTCATTACCCTTTCTTGGTCCAGTTTTTCTAGTTCTCTTCGTTCCCTTTCTAAAGCTTCTTGTTGACTCTGCCTTCTTTCTTCTCTCTGCTCTTGTTCTTTCACCAGCTGCCATATTTTTTCTTCTTCACTGTCTTCCCCAGTTTGTTCCTGATCTAAGCCTGAGGGGCAAAAAATAAAGAGCAAACAGCTTCCGGCATCACTTTCTCAAACAAACAGGGGACTGGTGTAGAGGCGCCCAGCAGAGACTCGGGAGACTGGCCCATTCTGAGCCGACGCTGCTGGCCTGCTGAAGCGCCTTGATGGTCTTCCGGCCCGCAGCCCCACGCCTAGCGTGGCACCCGCCCTTCACTTCTGAGATGAACGCAAGTCACCCTCACCGTGAACAACTTCAACCGTCCTCCCCTCCACTCTGCATTTTCTCACCCTCCTTACCCCTCTCCCCAAGCCCTGCATTTGTGACTCACACTTGCTTATACTCCCTCCACTATCTTTAGGACGCTGACTTACCACCAGTCCCTATTTATTGCCACAGCAGCTTTATAGCTCTTGCTCCGACCCCCACGAAGGCACTTGAGCCTCTCCTGCCCAGAACAGTACAGACCGCCCCACCCCCAGCCATCTCACTGCCATTCTCCACTGCCTCCCGGATGACCTCTTCCTGGGTTTTAGCTATCGCCTCTGTCCCAGTCATTGCCACATCTTTCTCTCTAGTCCTGGTCTCTCCCCAGCCTCCCATCCGTGATTCTGACGGGGTCCCAGCCAGGAACATGTGGAAATGCGACGGCACCAGCTTTATACCTGAAATTACTAGTCCCGTCCTGTCATCATGCTCTTCCTATGCTGCTTCCACGTAGCCCCCAGGCCCTCTGCATTCTAACTCCTCCTGCTGCTGTTAGGGACCTCACCACCACTGACCGGAAAGGTTGAAGCAACCTAGCCAGCGCTCTCCCCCAGGCCTGTCGGTGAGCAAGCAGGCAAACCATCTGCATCAACACCAGTCATTTCCTGAAGAGATGATGTCAGTTTTCTGGGCGCTGGCTCTGCTCCACTAGACTCTGACCCCACGGCGCTCTAGGCTCTGACCCCGGCCTTTTTCTTTGTGCATGGACTTCCTACATCCCCACACTTTTACATTCAGAACCCTCTCCCCTAGCAGCAGACTTGTTGTTGGCTGAACAGAGCTGGGCCTCCCGCGCTGGCCTCTGTCGCTCTCCCCTACCCTGATGCGCTGTCTTCTCCCAGCTCTCCCACAGAACCCTTCCTCCTGGCGAGCCCCCACTTCCGTGCCTCCTCTTAGTGTGATCCTCCTCATTCCTCAAGGGACAGTAGGCCTCTCCAGCACCACACTCACCCCGCGTTTCGTACACGCGCATCAAAACCACGTGTGTCTGCCTGATCTACATCTGTCATTCTGGGCTTTCCTTATTTGTCCACTCCCTATAGCTTGCAGCACAAGTCCCTGCACCTCCTATGTTTAATTGGATCTCAGTCCCACAGATGATTATGCTGGACCTTTTCCTCTGGCTCTGGAGGAACCTAGGCTTTTCCTAGGCTCAGCTTTCCCCCCAGCTACACTAAGAGATGAAGCCAGAGGTTCACTAGAGAATTTGGAACATTTCTGCTCTGCCTTGTTCTAAGTCCCCTGCAGGAACTGAATTAGTTTGACTAACAAGCAACACGGTTTTCTCTGTCTTTTGATCCCGGTCATGACTTCACAGGCTAAAGGAGGCAGGGGATCATTTCCACAGGCAGAAATGCAATCTCGTCCTTGCTGGTGGAAGGAGGGTTATTCCTAATGGCATAGCTTTCTCACATGGAACAAAACTTCAAAATAGGAATGCTGTTTGGCTGCTGATTTAAAAAGATAGAGAAGAAACAAAGGCTACTACTTTGCTGTGGGGTACACAGTCGTATGCCGCATAACATAACTGCAGCCACTGAGGACCACAGATACAACGGTGGTCCCATTAGAGTACAATGGCGCTGAAACATCCCTGTCTGCTATGATGTTGTAGCCGTTGTAACGTCACGGCGCAGTGCATTACTCAGTGCTTGTGGAGACGCCGGAGCACGCAAACCCGCTGTGCCGCCAGTCGCGTAACAGTACCACACGCACAGTGGTGTACAGTGCATAATACTTGATACTGATAATAAACCACCGCATCCCTGGTACATGTACTCACTGTATCAGACTACTCTTCAGCATTTTGGAGTGCACTCTTTCTACTTTCAAAGGACAGCGTGCGGGAACACGGCGTGCCGTGCTACACGGGCAGCACCCTCACACACCTCATGTTTACCACGTCGCTTCCTGCCAGCATTTCCTCTTGTGCGTCATTAAATGTCGTGTTTTGTTCAGTAGTGCACTGTATAGGCTGTAACCTAAGAGAATCAGGCTGTTGCACATGGCAGGGCTGTATGGGAGGCTGTACCACCTCGGCTTACCTAAACTGCACTCTCTGATGATCGCACAATGGCACATCACCTAAGGTCCCATTGCTCAGAATATATCCCTGCTGCAGAGGGGCGTACAACTGCACTTTGTAGCTGCAGAATAACACACAGAAACCTCTTTGGATGTGAGAGCAAAGAAAAGCACTGTTTCCATTGGGCACCTCGAAGATACCAAGCGTTGGCCTTTCCCATTTACCCTTGTACCCAGGTGAAGATGGGAAGTGTTAATTACAAGAGAATTTTTCAGTGATCAAAATGTAACCACACTATTTAATGATTTTAAAGGCATTAGTGTAATTTACATTACATCTCAGAAGCAGAACACCTCTCGCCTCTCTATTCTATGATGTGACTTTTATTCCTTCCTCGCCCATGTCTCTGCGAAATGGCGGCCTGTCACATCCACTCGTGGGCGGCCAGTGCCCCATTCAGGACTTACGCCATCACAGGTCCTCAGGGACGACTTGCTCACTGTCCGAATTCCCCACCAGAAGCTCCGTGAGGCGTGGGCGTGGGTGGGGTCACTGCTGTGTGCCCACCTCTCCGGAAAGTGCCCAGCACAGAAGAGGTTCTTGACCAAGTGTCTGAGCGAGTGCTTTCCAGAATGATTTACTCTGGAATCAGTACCATGAACCCTTTCAAAGTCTCTTGCTTCTTTCAGTAATCCCTCATATTCCTAAGTAGGTCAACTCAAACCAAGAAACTACTTCCAGGAGGAGAAGGCTTAGCATACATAGGTTTTGGGGGTGCCAGCCCCACGTAAACAGTGGGAAAACAAGAGATGATTCTCCTTGGGGAATTTCCTCTCAAGTTTGAGGCTTAAACACCTCGGTTGAAGGAGACCAGGACGTGGCGGGAATGAAGCTCGGTCTGTGCCTGCAGCTTCCCTCCCTGTCTGTGCACACTGGGGAGGGGCGTGTGTACTCTGGACACGATAAGAAAGAGAAAGTGGGCCGGACACATCTGATGACCAGGGCCCCTCATCAGCTTTTCCAAAAACTGAAATATAAAGGTTCTTCTGTCCTAATTTTTTAATACACAAAGGCAGCAAATAGACAGAGATAATATGTTAACATTTCTCATACACTGATCACATTGAAGATGTATATGGTCATTAGCCATTATTTCAATTTTACACTATGATTTCCTAAGGTGGAATGGCTTTTGTAGATGCCTCTTAAACAAAAAGGTAACTGCTCTGTCAGACTTTGGACAAGTAAATAAAAAATATTAAAAGCCACTGGCCCAGGAAGTCTAAATGAGAAGCCTTGTCTTCAGTTTCCTCCTCAGCACTGTTTTTACATGTTCTAACCGGGAGTTACTTCAGAATGTTATTGGCAGTAACACCCCAACCCACCCCAAGACATGGAGTACTCTGTGCTTAGGAAAAGTCCAACAAGACATGAATAATGCACAGGGCACAGACTGGTGTTCAGGACACGGTCACGCTATGTGGCAGTTAAACCAAGGAAAACTTACCTGGGTAGTGAGAGGAGACAGGTCTGGCAGGAACAGCAGCGATGGCAGTGTCCAAGTGAGTCACATCACCAGCAGGATGGAGGCCATTCACTTCTAAGCGCTTTGGCATGTCCCCTGCATCTACACGAGCTACAAACAAGAGTCCTGTGAGTGTTTAAGAACCACAGCAAGAGAGGGGAGTGCAGGGTGGGGTAACTTAGTGCAGAGCACTGAAGCCTCAGCCGAAGCAACCAGGCCAGCCTTTCCTTACAGAATTAACTCTGAGATGTTTGCAGTACGACCGCTTGCCACTTCTCAAAGTGCTCTTACACTTTAAAGAATTAGATTTGTTCCCAAAATTAGATTCATAACCCAATAGGAAAGTGACAGAAGAATTCACCTGGCTTGCTGACAATCATTTGAACTCCATTTAAATACAATGAGGTAACAAAATTATTTAAGAAGGTTGCAAAGAATTTGCAAATTTTACTAGGCCCTCTCAGTTAACTGTTCAAAATATACATTCAGAGTTGGCACTGAAGCTCACAAGACAAAACGATATTTATATACAAATGTAAAGACTTCGCAGGCTGGAAAGAACCTTAGAGCTGACTGACTCTGCATCCCAATTTCATATGTAAGCAGCAGGCTCCCCGGGGAACAATCTAGCACAGGACCAGAGCCAGACATCAGTTTGCAGACAAGAAGGCTGATATGTTTTCACTGCCACTCTTTCACTAAGGATGGGTTTTCTAAATCTGAGGCAGTCTACAAAATCTGCACAATTTAAAGAAAATAACCCATCATCTTCATATTTCATAAAAAGGGGAAAAGAAGCAAATTAAAAAATCACTTATTTTAAATCTGAGGCAATCCCAAACTTGGTAAATTAAGTGTTCACTTATGAACTTAGCTCCAACTTTGGAATTATTGGTTATCCTGAAATTTTTAAAAATTTGACGGGACTCAAATGTACCCGCCAAAATCTTTGTGATATAAAATGAGGCAATATACCTGTATTTATGGTTTTACCACAAAACACAAATGTTCTCATTTGTAACTGCTCTGGTTTTTATAACAATGGATATGTTTCTCTAAAACTATGTTTTCTACATTTTCAACTTATAAAAACCAGTGCTTATATTTGAACTTACATTCCAAAGATGATTCAAATTCCTCATTATCCTTCAAAGACTGCTTGTCCAGATTTGAAAACTCAGCTCTGTTTCGGAGTTCACTTTGTCTTTGATAAAGACTGAGTTGGAAGAACAACATTCATGAGTGTCAAGCTGTAATAATGTAAAACCCAAGAGCACAACAGGATGGTGCGATCCTTTCGTGACTCGAGAAAACACTTTGTGCTCCCTGAGGACGAGAGCTGCCCAGCACGGGCGCAATCCGGGCACCTGGCAGTACACTAGGCAACAGGCTTTGACTCAGGGACTCCTGAGTCACCTGACTCCTCAGAGGCCACCTGACCCTGGAAGGCAGGCACCACCACTGTGAACAAAGAGGAATGCTGCACCCTCAGCGCTGCTCCTAGGAGTTTATTTCTTCAAGAACCACAAAACATTTTTGAAAAAAACAAATTCTGTACACCATCAGCCTGAGTCAGCTGAAGATGCAATACTACAAATACCATGTGCATCAAAGTGTCCTAAGTCACCGTGTACATCCTGTCTCCCCTCGTGGCTTTACTTTATCACAGGAGAACAATATACTATACATATCATAATGCATAATAATTATATATATTATGCATTAGGACCATAATAGGTACATGAGGCAGTTTTCAACCCTGTGCAGTAGGACTGAATCGATGTGCAACCAGATGCCTGGGCTGGAGCCCAGAAGTAAGGAGTCAGAGTCTCCCCGATAAGGGTCAGGCACAGACAGGAGTCCCACATGTGACTCGAATCCCAGCCTGGGTGACCCACCACTGAGCTTCCAAACACATCTACTCCATCCTGCTTCAGCAATCAGACCCTACCACCTACTACCCTTTCAGAATTTATCTCAATAGACAGATTAGGATTCTGTTTGGACATAATAATACGCCACAATAATTTTTTTTTAGTGACTTTTAAAAGATGGGTGAAACTGCTCCAAGTTTAAAAATAAATTGAAGCTACTTGCTTTTGCAGATTTTGTATGTTGCTTTTTTACCTTTATAAACTGAATCTATTCATGGAATGATGAAGATGCTTGCAGATACCATAGTGCATATTCTATATATCAGGCTTAGCAAACAAGGAAACATTACTTATTTGCTAAAAGGCATTTTTTCCCCAGGTAATTCAGATGACTCTAAAACATGACACATCATCTTACCACCTGACTGCAAATTCTATACGGCCCCATGGCCTCGAGTATCACCTGAAAAAACCAAACGAGTCAAGGCTGAGATGCTGCGCAGCTAACCAGACTTGGCTGAGGCCGACCAGCACGCGGGGCTCACCTGGCCTCCTGCCCCCGCGGGCTGGAAAGCGAATGGATGGAAAGGCTGTGCCTAGACTCGGCGGGCGAAGGCTGCAGCGTTCTTTCAGGACACAGACTGGGGGCGGCAACGCGGGATCGGCCCAGACCTAAGGGGCACAGGAAATCAGGACAAGAATGTTACAGATTACATGGGGAAGAAGGCAGGGTGGTTTCTAAGGAGTTCCATTAGTTTGAAAAGAAATCCTGCTACCCTTTCAGACAGCTGAGTGTGATGTGTAAATGACCCACAGCACTGACAACTCAAGCGCCTAAATGAAACTGCACTGATTACACTAAAATGCGTAAAACGAATCAGCAGTAGGGCAAGCCACTGTCACTCTCCGAACACCTCTGCATGCCAAGCAAAATGCTGGCACTTGCCACTCTATCCCACTGCCTCCCACATCAACCCTGTGCAAGTGGGGAGACGCTGCTGGTCAGCAGGCAACCACGGGTGCAGTGAGGACCCAGCTGCACAGGCTGGAGATTTCCAAGGCCCAGGGCTCCCCCAGGCCCAGCTAAGCACGCGCCTTCTGCTCCTTCCTGCTTCCGAGGGCAGGCTCTTGCTCAGATAAGAGGACCATCCAAGCCCAGAGCATCCTGCAACCCCTTCTGCAGAAGCTCACCTTCCAGGTGCACGTCAGCATCCAAGTTCCGTTTAGCTCGCACCAGGGGAGTGGAGGAGAGGCGTCTGCTGGTGCCTCTGCGGAGCCGTGACGCTGCTCTGCCTGTCAGCCCTTCTGTCACATCACCCAGCAGAGGCTGCTTGGGCACAGCGCCTTCCTCTGTAAAAGTACGTCTCTCCGAGGAACTTGGTGTGATGTTCTTGGGAGTCCCTCGCACGTGCAGGGAAGGCGGGCTCTGGGGTCCTAGTGGGCTTCCAGCGCGGGGGCAGTGACTAACTCTTTGACAGTAATCTCGGAAAGCTTTCTCTAAGCATTCGGCCTCACGCTCTAGCCCTTTCATTCTTGCCTTGGTGTTGGCTACAAATTCAAGGTCAGAATCGGGGGAGCTACCATCGGTGCTTGGAGTTAGATAATTTATGATTCTTGGGGTAACTGTGCCTGCCATCAGCTGGCCCTGTCTGAGAGGATTTTTCAAGAAATCCCCACATATTTCAGCATTGGGAGACACCGTGAATCCGTTGGCCAGAAATGGCTTTACATTGCAGTACACTTCATTCTCCAGGGCTGCGGGTTACAAAGAGATAATGTGACAAATGAGCAGAGAATAAAATTCAAATATGCTCAACAGTTTTTTTGAAAAACGAAAGAAGGTAATAATAAAGACAAATATGCACATTAAATAATTCCTGTAGCCACAATAACATTAATAATTAGTAGTATTTATTGAGAGCTTTCATATACCAGTTACAGCTTCCAGGCCTTTTTCTTTTTTTAAGGCCTTCTTTCTTAATGCATACATTATATCAAAATCCATGACACACAATCTTGAAATCCAAAAAGCTCTGAGAACTGAAAATTTATTCATAATTTATTTGGTCACAAAGCCTAACTGGACCTGAACTCATCTGGTTGATAAACTTGACCTGAACTGATGTAAACCCATTCATAATCTATATTTATTCTACCCAGCATAGATATTCATATATCTGACTGCAAGCATGTTTCACTAAAGGATGCTGCCCCATAACTCCCAGAGCTGTGACAAAATCCATTGTAGGGCAAGTTTCAGATGAGGGAATGAGGACCTGCAGCCAAAGCAAGGCTGTGGGCTAACAACTCCCACTCCTCCCATATCACAGATGGGGGCTGAGACGGGGTCACACAGGTAGCAAGGTGTACAGACGCTGCAACCTGCTAACGCAAAGCCAGTACATGCGGGCACTACTCTCCCGCAACGTCTCCAGCACAACGCATGTGTTTGGAAATGTCCCATCCTCAAACTGTTTCTCCTGACTCGAGATCACTGGGATTTCAACTGCGGGCAGTTTGGCAAACAGAACTGTTGAGAGAACCTAAGGAAGAGGAGGGAGAAGAAATGGGTAAAGAGATCAAAATAAAACTAGCGTGGGAGAAAGGAACAAGGACAGATGAGGAAAGAGTGCAAATAGGAACTGAGGGCGGCTCAGAACCAGAAGTGCGAGAAACCAGTTCAGTTGCTCACACACACAAACTTCTCTGAGCTTGAGCGCAGCGAAAGAAGGTCCCCAAGCTTCGGAACACTTGTTATGAAGGAGGAAGGGGCAGCTCTCATGCCTCCTCCGTGAAGGCACATAGTAACATGACAGCAGTAACCATTCTGAGTGTCTGATGTGTCTCAGACGCTTGGCTGGGATCTATCATCTCTCTATCTTCTTCACCGTGGCATGGTAGGCACTCTTATCCCCACTACGAGGGAGGAGACTGAGGTCCCAGGAAGTTACATGGGCACCATGTCAATCAACTAACGTCAACATCAGGGTGCAAAAACAGAAACATTCTACATAATCAACCTGACTCACGCTGATGCCACACAAGCCCCCCTGCTTCTCCCACATGTTCACTCATCTCTCAAGGCAAAAGTAAAACACTGAGGAGTCACAGTGCTCTTTTTAGCAAGAAAACAAATATAAAAGAAAAGCCTATGTCCACGGTGAATTTGGGGACCCTCTGCGTCACCAACACACCTTTCCTCTTAGGGGCAGGAGGCTCTTGCAAGCCGTGGGGCACCTGTAAAAGCAAGCCATGTTAGCTGATGACCCTGTAAAAGCAAGCCACGTAGGCTGATGATCCAGTTGGTGTTCCTGAAATGAGCAGAAGTTTTACTTCTAAGATGACATTTCTATGACTTCTACCCTACGAGAATTATTAAAAATTCAACAAGTAACGATCATTATCTTTCCACATATGCCAGAAGTTTCACATACATGTACACACTTATAGGTTAAAAATATGTCGCACCTGTCTGGGTTTGTTTCAGCTGCAATTTTAGATCAGCCACCTGCAGAGTTAACCGCTTTACGGAGGCGTCGTACTCTAATATCCGGGCCTTCAGCTTTGCAGAATGCTCAATCTGAAAAGATTTAGAGAATGAAAAAAAATCAACGTGAAAGAAATCCCAGTTCACTTCAGAAGGAACAATCCTCGTATCGGGCTTATTCTCTTTCACCAACTCTGAGCAGCTTTCCCCCTGTAATGCACAGGTCCCCAGAAAACAACAGCGCACACAAACAAGTTTCCCCCTCCCTTTTCACTCATCTCAATGAATAGCTACGGCGGGGCACGAGGCAGACCCCGGAAAGACAGTGGCAATGTCTAAGTCACAAGGTGAGAATTGAGAGACACTAATAATAGTGGGCACCATCAGGACTGGACAATTTTATGTTTACCTGCGCTTGCTTTCCTCTGGATTTTATTACTGTTACAAATATAAAATCACATAATCACACAAGAATTTTCTTGGATGGGAAGGATACCCTTACATGTTAGGTGAGTAGTTTTTGATGTTGAAATCGATCTGATTTACACTGGTCTGACACATGCCAAATTTTACATGTGTACAAAGTGACCAGCCTAACACCTGGCCGAGCAAAGAGCAGTACTCACTTCACTTTGCAGCTGTTTCTGCAGAGCTTCCTTGTGGGTTTCAAATTCCTCGTGCCCTAACAGGATAGCAGCTTTTGCTTTCTTTAATTCTTTCTGAAAATTTAGCAGCTCAGGAGATGGCTGAGATATGCCTAAGAAGGTAAAAAAGCTTGGTGATTGCCAACCATAAGTTTTCTCATTTTACTTAACAAAACCATCTAAAAAGAGGTTCTTTCTCTGTACGTGTGTAATTAATATTAATTCTATTTAATGGCCTGACAGCAATCCTGCAATGCATGCAAATGCAAACTTCACTACTCTTCCTCATCCTACTCCAAATAAAAAAATTCTTTCAAACCCTCAACTTAACTAGAATGCCTGCCACTTTCTTCTACCACACATAGAAGGTGTAGAAGGTGTCCTCCATCAAAACTGGTTGATGACCACCCCAAGGTCCAATCCGATCTTGCATCTGTCTGTGGCTTTTGGGGTCCAGGCAGAAAGCAGGTGGAGTCCCCCCATTTCAGTCACTGGAGGACCCGCTAGTAAAAGGCAACTCATGTAGCATAGCCACAAAGGATGGTGGTGTCCCCTGGGCTAGTGGAGAGGCCAACACTGTTACCATCCTTGGGCCTAGAGAACCAGGGAGGGAAGAGTTCCCAGAGCCAGAGAGAAGGAGCTGGCGCAGGCGCACAGCGCTGGTGAGAGGCCATCCGCAAGCACTGGGACCCTGCCTGGCTGAGAGCCACAGGGCCAGCCCAGACCACTTTGCATGAGGACGGAGTTGGGGGGCTGCGGGGGGGGGGGACTGCAGTGAGGGCATAAAAACAAACTTGACCTGACTCCCATCCCTCCTTCCCAGTGCTGAGGGTGTCCCGCTGACCAGACCCGAGCTGCAGGGAGTGAGGGGAGGCCAGCACAATCCAGAGGCGCAGATTTGTGCAGGTTAAAAATATTTCTTCTTAGTGGCACTATTAGTTAGGCAATAGCAAGCAAAAAGGAAGGAACTTCAAATTGAGAATGTTAATTTTATAAAATGTTTCTAATGGAAGCCTCCCTTACAGGTACAGAGAAGTTTCACAATACTAAGCTAATATGAATGACAAAAACATGAAAATCAAGGGGAAAAAAAACATACGGTTTAAGAGATCCAAGTTTTCATTTCTACTCTCTTCCAGTTGTTGTTTAAGTAATTTATTTTGTGCCTGAAACTCTTGTTTCTCGTCTTTTAGAAGTGAATAGTCACTCATTTCTTTCATTTTTTCATTCAGCAGATGGTTTTGCTTTGTTATTGTCAAACACTGGGCTTTGAGAGACTCGAGCTCCAGCTGGAATTGAAGAAGCAAAACTTGTGCTTGAACAGTGACTTTACAGAACGGTGACTTACCTAAAAGCTGGGGGGCTGCTTCAGGCTGGATGTCATGATTTAATGAAGGTCACTTGACAGCAATGAAAGTTTTGTTTTGCCCAAGAGCTGGGGCAGGGGGATGTTCATCCACCTTTGTGCTTATGTAGAACCCCGCCCTACAGCGCAAGTGCTTCTGATTAAGAGTATCACCGCTTTTCCAGATGCAACTAAGGTTCCCACAGCGGTCACAGGCTGCGGCAATCTATGCTTTTAACTGGGAAAGAGGGGGCTCTCCCAGACCTGCTGGGGGAGCTGTCGTTTTCTTTGTGTGTCTCATGTTTGCATACAAAAGCCCACCAAGTTCTCAAACAGGACGTTATAGCTGCAAAAGTAAATTTTATATACAGAAAACATTTCAGTACCTAAAGTTCCAGCTCTGTCCTTCAGATAGCACACATGAGTGAACAGAAATAAAGTAACAGTGGCATATGAAAAATGCATCTTGTTTTGTTTTAACCTGTAAGACCCTGATGTAATGACAGCAATTTTTAGGTATTGCTCATGCCAAGGAAGAAGAGGCTGTGGTAGAAACTAAGGTGCACTGGCCTCCTGCTAGGGTTAGGCACTCATGGCATCCACCATACCCCGATGCTGAAGGGACATGTCTGGAGGCACACAGGCAGCAAGGGACAAAGAGGGGATTCAAGCAGGACTCTAGGCCCCAACGGGGCCTGTTGTTCTCTTTCTATGCTTCCCTGGGAGACAAAGGTTGAAAGGAAGAACTACTGAATTAACTTAAGGCGGGCCATCGCTGCCTTAGTCATATAATAAATAGGCCAAACACGTCAACAAGATAAATTATGTATGACTGAAACTAAAATTTCATATACTGCCTAACAATGATTTCAAAAAACCAATAGGCTTAACAATTACCTGAAGTTCTTTCACATGACTTGCAGATTGATTGAGTTCTTCCTTTTTTGAATTTACAGCTGTTAGCTCCTCTTGCAAACGTATAGCTTTTTCTGAGAGAGAGAGCCAACCAATTAAACATTATGTTTTTCTAGTGAATACAAAATTGATTTAAGAATTTATGGCCAATGTATCAGACCTAATGACCATTATTTCATAATCTAAAATAGGAGACATCAGTGTCAAAAAAAGTCAGTAAGGCAAGTACGAAATAAGCCCTTGTTGCCCAATAGACGATAAGTTAGTTATAACGGTCACATATGTGGTGAACTTCCTTCTGCTACACACAGTAACAAGTCGCACCATGTGCCAAAAGATCTGAACTTCCTTAAAGACAAAGACTTGTCTTATGAATTCAGTCACAATTTTGTCATTTTCCTTCATCTAATACAAGTTTGTGTAGCTATATCATCAAAAAATAATTTGCCAGCTACATCATAGTACTAATTCCTAAAGTATTAGTCTCCACAAGATAGTCGCAAAGGAGCAGCCATACTCTGGGTGACCTTACAAGTCAATATCAAGTGCCCAGCCCTTGTTTACTCCAGGAATTCCTTTGAAATTTCCACCTAAAGTTCAACTTCTTGTCACAGGCAAGCTCCTAGAAACATATTGAAATGTAGGCCGCTGGCTCAATTCCTAGTCAGGGCAGAGGCCTGGGTTGTGGGCCAGGTCCCCAGTGGGGGGCATGCGAGAGGCAACCACACATGGATGTTTTTCTCCCTTTCTCCCCCCTTCCCCTCTCTCAAAATAAATAAATTTAAAATATAAATATATAATATATAAATTATATATAGTTATAATTTTTTAATAAATTAAAAAATTATAACTATATATAATATATATGATATATAGAGTTGGATAAAACCCTGCCAGTATATCACTGACATTTGTGAATACACAAAAGGTTAAATGTGAAGGTTTGCAAAAACCTAGTGAGAGACAATTATTTTAAATTTTGTAAAATTAAAAGGACAAAAGTGTGTAATTGTGAAGTAACAATGAGGTGTGAGCTTTGTATATTTTTTAAAATTTGGAAGAGGCCCAAATTAGGAAGCTAAAACCTTCTCAGAAATGGAAACTACAGCTCCCCTCCCCCAAGAGTCACCTTTATTCTTCCTTTCCTCTTCAACCAGCCTGTTCGTTCTGGCGATGTACTCGTCCTTTAGCTCTAGTTGGTACCTAAGAATCAGAATGACTGGAAATGAGTTTCTCGTCACTTTCCTGGACAGATCCCTGCCAATATGTGCGCTTATCGATGGCACCTGGGTGCCAAAGGGCACTTGGACATAGCCACGCATAACCACCTCCAGGTCTCAGTCCTAGGCCAGAGACCCAAATGCTGAGTATGCAGGGTCCAGTAAAGCCTGCTGCAGTCCTGTAAACTGGCTCCCCCAACTCGTGTTGTTGTGGGGTTACTGCGAACAGTTATGGCGGTCTCGGTCTGGACGGACACAACGACGCTAATTAAGTTAAATTTACACTGCATACAACTGACCCTGAATCCCAAAAGATCGCAGTCGGTCACTTCCCATCCACCTGCCTTGTCCCCGCCGCCCAGAGGGAGACCTCTTGCCTCAGGGGCAAGCACAGGACTGAGAGCCAAGTGCCAGCCCCTTCCCATCTGGGTTAGCCGTACCAGGAGGCACTCACAAGCCGCTTTCCTGGTCTCCCCCCTGTTGCCAGATGACTTCTGGGCTCAGAGTGGGCACCAAGGAGAGAGCAGCACTCCCGCGGGGAGCATCCTCTGACGCCCGCCTGCGCCAGAGTCCCAAAGGCGGGCCAGAGTAGGCAGACAATGGTCTCCATGGTGATGGAACCTTGGCCTACAGACTTACTCATTTGTTCCTGTCAGTGTAACAGTTACAGATACTTCAGGGCTTACTACGATATTTGAGGAGATGACATAAAATATGGAGAGATAACATCCATCATGTCAAAATCAGCACATGGAAAGGTACTATGTTTTGTTTTATTAGGATTCTTCTAAAGAATAGCCTCAGGAAAACTTTGCAGGTACTATATGTAATAGAGTATCAAGGCAATAAAAAGAGGCCAAAGATTAAGAAATACTCAAGCCCCTCAGGCAAGTCACCTCTTCACCAAGATTTCATTTATTCAACAAATATTAAACTGAACACGTCTTATGTGCCAGACATTATACTAAGCACTAGAGAGAAAAGGTACCTCATGGGCTTAATGTCTTTGCACTAAGATATTAGTCACTGAAACACAATAAAATTCAGACTATAGAAAAGCCATAGTAACCACAGCTATCCATATTTTCCTTTCCCCTTTTTTTTTTTTTTTTTTTTTTTTTTTTTTTGCTTCATAGAGTCAATTTATGTTTGTTTCTTCTGACTCTGGACTTTGCGGAATCTTGACGGACTACAAGGCACATGTTCACCGACAAACAGTAGAACCACTAAGTAAAATAATTTAAATTGATAGATACCCGCATCTTAGTAGCAGTATAAGTAGGGTAGAGGAGAAGAGAACTAAAAGTGATTATAATTCCAATTTTATTGCTTATCAGCAGTGCGAGCTGAGCATGTCACAGGGAGCCCTAAAAATTAAAGCAAATCACAGGCCCTCAATACCTGTTACAGAGGCTATGAGTAACAACAAGCAGAGGATGCTATTCTCTGCATTGCATCTTTTTAGAACTGTCTTAACTCAGACACTCATGGGAAAGGTTTGGCTATCAATGGAAACATGCATTTTTTTTAAATACTAACTTTCACCATAAAATATTAACCATATCTACTTCATTAGTCTCTGTTTCCATCAACTTAATTCAAACACATTAGTTCTTTAGAAATGCCAAACAGTTACTTCAGAATTTCATTCTTGAGCTTCTGCTCATAGGTCTCCTCCATACTCTTCATATTCAGCTCCCGTCTCTTAAGTGCATCACTCACGCTTTTATTTTTTTCTTCTTGTAGCTTCTGGGCCCTGAAATTAGCAAAAATATATAAAAAGCTAATTACAAAATTATAATACCTGAAATAAAGCCTTGGGAGAAAAAATAGCATGTGGTTTTAGCTCCACAGACTAAAATGGTTATGCAACAGTCACCGCTGGGAAGTAAGCAAACAGAGCCCCAAGTCCTCCATCTATTTTATGAACTGACCACGTTATGATGGGTCTGAAGCAGCACATGGAGCTATACGGTGGCACCAGGCTGGAGGGCGTGTGAAAGCGTCAAGGCCAAAGTGCTTTTTCAGAGATGATTCACACTTAAATAACGGTTACTGGTGATAAATGGCCATAATCAATTTAGAGGTGAAAGAATAGTGCTATTAGCTTTAGCAACGCTACAAACCAAACTTCAGTTGGTGTACTTTAGGGCTTGTTTCTTCAGTAACATTGTTTCTGTGATATTTAATTGATTAGCCCATAGCTATTAAAGATAGAAAGTTTATTTTTGGCATTTCATAATCTAGTGATTGAATACTGAAAAGAGTGCAGAAAGAGAGCACAAAAGTTAGATGGACCAATCAGAACTTCTAAACTACTGAAGGATGGAATGGTTTTCAATAGCGACACCTCAAGTCACCCACACATCAATTCCAGACCCATGGGGGTTAGGTTCACAGGTAACCATCGAGCCATGAGAAGTACTAGGGAACAGGGACTACTCCCAGCGAAGGGTAAAAGTGCCATGTGTTAGCTCCCTCTGCTGGCTAATCTGTAAAGCAAAGGAGCCATAAACTACATGTGCTAGTCTTAGAAGGGAGGAAGAGTTATGGGAAGTGGAGGTAAAGTGATGGTATGTATAATCATGAGCTATGTTCACCAAAAATTTTGTTACTTTCCTTTTCTCTCTCATGATCAATTTACCACTTCAGTACTGTCAAAAAGACAGTTCGGTAGACAGAGAGGAGAAATCAAGAGTTGAGCCCATGTAAATGCGAGAACATTCACAAAGATGGAAACAAACCCTTTAATGAAATAAGAGTATTTGTGAGTGTGTTAGCTGGTGTGGCTCAGTGGACTGAGTGCTGGCCTGCGAACCAAAGGGTTTCCAGTTCAATTCTCAGTGTGCGGCACATGCCTGGGTTGCAGGCCAGGTCCCCAGCAGGGGGCATGTGAGGGGCAACCACACACTGATGTTTCTCTCCCTCTCTTTTTCCCTCCCTTCCCCTCTCTAAAAATAAATAAATAAAATCTTTAAAAAAAGAAAAGATTATCTGTGTCAATTAATAGCAGAACCAAATGGGAAAGATAGCTTATTCCAAGCTTACAGACTGGTGATCTTGCTGTTAATCCCAGGTAAGACTTGAAGAAACACTTGTCATCTCTTAGAAAAAGTACACACACGTCACAAGACATAGTTTGACCCAGTACTAGTCACGTCAGCCACCATATTTCCTTTGACAGCAGAGCAGGTAAATGTGTCTGAAATTCAGTTACTATATGCACGTGCAACCATTAGATCTGAATGACTGAATGTAAATGTGAGCATGACTTGTTAAAGCATTAGCACCTTCTTCAAATGATTTGCCTGGTTTTACTGTAGCCTGATGATAGCGTCTCATTCTGCTTTTCATCCCGATGTCTAGTATTTCAAAAGTGAAATCCCAGTCTTTGCTTCTCTTAACTTGTGCTTTTTAAAACTAGACGATAGCAACTTTACAACCAAGAACTCTACTTGGCAATTACCATTAGAACACTTAGGCCTATGTCGTTCTTTTTAATCTCCTAGATTCTGAATACCCAAAATGAAAACATATTACTTACAATTCAAAAGCTTCAATTCTTTGCTTCAGCTCTGCTTCTCTGCCTCTTAGCAAATCTATATCTTTTAGTAGAAGCTGCCGTTGAGCATAAATTTCTTTTGTTTCCATCTGCACAGGAAAGCATTAATTTTTAGCAAGCGAACTAAAGAAAATGAAACAGATTAGAACTAACAGACTGCTTCCTAAATTCCAGAAAGCAATCAAAGTACATACATTCACGGTAACAATTTCACTTTCAAGAGGTTTCCCTTCAAGATACGCATTTTGCCTGTTCTAGTTACACAAAAATGTATTTCCTCCCCCATGACAGTTAAGCTACACTACTCCATATTTCTAAAGTCCCTTGTGTAATTGTTCTACTTAATTGACATCTCTCAGACACTTACTTAAAATTCTGATAAGTTCTTCAGCAAAAAAAAGAGTAAAATGTACATTCAGGAATATAACTCAACGAAATAGAATCCCCATGGTTCAGCAGCTGTTGTCTGAGAGTTTCAGCTCATGAGTCCTTCTCACACGGCATGAGCAGGTTCGTATGGACCCCTGAACGAAGGCCACACTTCCACCTGTGTGTTCACTGAGTATCATGTCAAAAAGCACGCTGGGGGCTGGATAGAAAAAGATGAGCAGATACAGTCGCCCCCGTCTTTTAGAAAGTTCACAATTTACAAATGGAGAGAGGAACAATCCCTCTATGACCTAATGATGTCCCCGCCAGAATCCAGTCCCCAGAGCAGGAATGAGGCCCAAACGGGTCCATCCGTGGGAGTCAAGGGAGGCGCCACCAGGAGGCGGCATTCAAGCTGCACGTCTGAAGGACAGGACAGTTATCCCCCAAGGGGAGAAGGGGAAGGACATTCCGGGTGGTGGAGTAAAGGCATGGTGCCTTTTATGAGGATGGCAACCTGCTCCAGAGCCTTCAGAGAACCCGCTAACTAAATGGGGACTCGCGGCTGTTAACTGTCGGGTGGGTCTGATCTAGTCAGTCACCTACCTTGAAGGTGGAAGTGTTAGGGTGAACACAACCCAATCATCTCTAAGGCCTCTGCTTCCAACATTTACTTTTAGAGCTCAAATGAGCCCAGTTCCCCAAAATGCTATACAAAACTGTAGAGAGGGTACAATTACCATTACTAACTGGGACTTACTGAGAAGCTCCAGGCAAGGGTTGACTGGGAGGATGCCTCTCCCCTCCCCCACCCCTGGCCGGAGTAGATCTGGCCGCACCCAGGAAACCGAGCCCCAGGTGCCATCCGGTCTGACACAGCCTCGGGAAAGGAACCCGTTTTTCCTAATGGAGCGGATCCAATCCCTCCTGCCCACCCACATTCCCGGCCACTCCTCAACCTCTCCACCTCCTGTCCTGCCCCTTTCCTGGGTGACAAGGTCAAATGGCCACATGGCTGACACTTGCAGCCCTGGACTCCTCTCTTCCAGGGCCCCCTGCCTTTGCTCCAATGGAAGCACACTGCGTTTGGTTTCCAACTTCACCTAAAACCTCAACCTGCAACTCTGTCCTCTGGGTCCACCCTTACTCTTCTACCCGTCACTATCCCCAGACCTGTTCCTTGAGGCCTTTGAAACTGCCGCGGAGCCCTCCCTTCTCCCCTAGGCTAGAGCCATCCGCCCTCTCTTCTGGTCCCCCTCACCATCGTGCCGAACCCCAACGCCTTCGGCTGAACGGGCTGCCTTTCTCAAATCAAGTAAATTCAGCTCCATGCAGCTCCACTCTCCAAAGGTGACTGTCTTTCTGCCCTGGCTGACCTCCCAAATGCTGCCAAGAGCTACAGCAGAACAAGCAGCCTCGAGCACCTGGGTTGGTCCACGTCAGTCCCAGGTTGCCCACCACAGCAGGGCCCCCGGATCAGCTTGAGCAGTCCTGTGTGCTCCAGAGAGCTGCCCCGCCTTCACCCCAGCACCCAGTGCTCACGTCTGGCCGTCTACTCCAGGTTGCTACGCAACCCTCTCGTCTGCCACTTATTTAGCGTGAGTCGCTCACACGCCTGACGCAGACATTCAGTTTTCCTCCCAGCAGTCTCAGAGGGAGGAAGTCTGCGTATCGCTTTCCAGGATGATTCTTCCACTTGCTCCTGACCCCAGCCCCTACTGCTCCCCTGGGGCCTTCTGACACTGATTGTTCCAGCAAGCGCCCCATCTCTCTTCTGGACTTTGAGCCAATCTGTTGTTAGCTACAGGAAAGAGATACCCAGTAAGTGATTTTAAAATATTACCTCCTGGTGCTTTTGAATTCTCTCAAGGGACATCTTTTCCCGAGAAAGGAGGGCTTCAGACTTTGCTTGACAAGCTCTCTCAACATCATTCCAGAACTTCGCTAATTCCGCCTCAGACTTCCTCTTCTCTTCCATTTTAATTTTTGCTATTTCATTATTTTTAAAGTGCTTCAACTGCCAATTGATCACAAATAACTGTAAATACTAATAATGAGACTTGAAAAACAGTAACAGATTTAACATTCGTGCTCTAAATACATTGAGTTTCATTCATTTTTAGTTTCATTTCATTCGCTGTCCCTGAGGAATCATTCAAAAGGCAAAAAGACATCAAGTGGAAAGAAAAATATATGCACAACAATATATCACATTCACTAATAAAGATTCTAGATATTTTCCTACATACCTAAAAATGAAAAGATAAGCAAAAATACCATTTTTTAATAGCAACAAGATAAAATTTACCTTTTGTTGCATTTCTGCCTGAAGCTGCTGTTCTATTTCTCTCTTATATTCATTCAATTTCAGTTCTAAAGATTCTAACCTTGGATGCTGAAGGTATGCATCTGCAAACTGATCATCGATAAGCTGAAGCTTCTCAGCTATTAAAAAATAGAACAGGAAATTAGGTCAGAGGTGTGGTCACATGAGCCAGAGGTCTGTTCAAAAGAGTATACTTAGGGGAGAGTACAGGGATGTCTGCAGTTTACTGTGAAATAATTCAAACAATTACGATAGATTAATGGATGGACAGAGAAGTGATCAAGCAAGTAAAATACAAATTGAATGGTGAAATCTAGGTATATAAGTGTTCACTGTACAACTTTTCAACTTCTTTGAATGTTTGGCCATTTTCATCATAAAATGTCAGGGGAAAAGAAAGCAGAGTACAGTTGAAGTCAGAAAACACTGGCATCCGTTTGCAGAATCTAGGTACCAAAGCAGAGGGTTCTTTTGTTGGTCTTTGATGAAAGTTGAGTCACATGCTCAAAATGCTGACTTTCACATGAATCAAAGATGATGAGTTTCAAGTGTTCCATTTTACAGGGAAGGACGCAGATGCCTGCACAGTGTAAAGGACCCCGAGAGGCTACGCACGTCCATGATGGGGACTAGAGCCGGGTCTGCGGATTGTCTCCCACTCCAGTGCTCTCTCAGCAGACCCAGCACCCTCAAACCACATGTGGATTGGAATCAATCATGCAGCAAAGCACAAACCCAGACAGTAAAATCTCAACCACGGAAACACCAACGCCCACCAAAAAATATGCACAGGAAAAGGCTGGCAGGAGTAGATTAAGGTATTTGAACTTTTATTGTCTTATACGTTAAAGACACATTGCTCCTTAAGAGTAGGCAGGGCAGAGAAGTGGCTTGCTCACAGCATTTGAGCCAGCTGTGCCCCTTCTGTCCTGAGCATACCACTAACGAAAGAGCAGCAAGCTAGTGAAGACAGGCTGTGCAGCGGGAGAGGCTCTGGACCACGGAGCAGGAAACATGCACTCTAGCCTCGGTTCTGACCCAGACCGGGGGTTTCCCAGCTGCTTTTCCTTCCTCTGACGACCTCAGTTTCCTCAACTCTAAAGTGAACTGATGGGCCATGGACTTCTCTAGTTCTCTGCCATGCAGACTCTAGGGTCTGCTCACGGCAGTGGCTATAGAGTGATGTTAGATGAGACACAGAGGAGAACCTCCCAGCTGAGAGGTTTGACCCAGCACACAAGAATGTGGGCCCCTGCACCCATGTGAGTTTTAGAAGGTGTCGCCCTGGCGGTCCCGAAGGGAGGAGCGGCACTGGAGAGCAGCGCCTGGTCCCTTCCACCACCAGCGCCCCAGGGAAGCATCACCCCGCCCGCAGCTTACATCCCTCCCAGCCCAGCAACACACCCGACACGGTGAAGCAGCTCATTTCCTTCCGCCCAAAAGGAAACAGGGGACTGGAAAGTATGACAGAAGTCTACAATTACCAAGAGAGTCTTTCCTGGGAAATACTGGAGTTGTCTGAGTGTCCGTGTCACGAGTCTCTTTGGCCTGATGATATTCTGCCATTTCTTTTAGAAACTCCACAAGAAAACCTAAAAAACACAACGTATATATTTTTGTCTCAAAGCTTTCCTTCATGCAACCATTGTTCAGTCCATTATAAATTTTGGTTTTATAACATTATCCTTTTTCACATTATGTATCTCTTTTATTTATTTATTTATTTTTAAAAAGAGGGGAAGGGAGGGCGAGAAACATCGATGTGTATGAGAACATCTATCTGCTGCCTCTCACACGCCCCCAACTGGGGACCTGGCCTGTAACCTAGGCATGTGCCCTGACTGGGAATCGAACCGGTGACCTTTTAGTTCGTAGGTTGGTGCTCAGTTCACTTAGCCGCACCAGCCAGGGCACATTATGTATCTTTTAAGAATAATTTCTGAGGGAAGTTCTTTCCAAGCATGACAAAAATCTAGATGCAATAAAAAGAAATATTTAACCACATAAAAATTAAGAATTTATATATGGCACAAAATAAAGTTAAAAGGTAAATGATACACTGGAAAAAAATATTTGCTATAATATGAAAACAGAGCACTAATTTTCATATCAAAGAGCTCTTACAAATCATAAAATTTAAAAAAGGACATGGACAAAGTTTATAAAAAAAATTGTAATGTTGAATAAACATATACCAAGTCATAAATAAATGCAAATTAATACTACAACAGAGGGATCCTATTTTCCCACTAGGATTGCTAAGATTGCAACTCTGATCATACTTGAAGTGTTGGCAAGGGGGTGGGGAAGTCCGCAGGCTGGGAGGGAAATGTCACAGTGTTTATGTGTATTTAAAATGCACATACCCTTCAATGTAGTCAAACAAGAAACTCAAACAATAAAACAACAAAACTTCCACCAACTGGTGGCTAATTAAATACATTCCTTAAAAATAATCACCTAAATCTATGGCTATAAAGAAATATTGGTGGCTAAGGAAGGCAAATTGTAGAACAGTAGTCTCTAATATAGCCTCATCTGTGAGTGTGAGTTTCATTGCACATAGACTTTTGGGTTGGTAAACTAAATTCTCGTAGGATAAACAGGAAACTGTTCATTCTAGTTACCAGCAGAAAGTGACATTAGAGAATACAGCCAGAAATTTCTACCTTTCATTCACTGGATACCTTTCTGGATAGTTGGAAACTCTTTTTAAACCGTGAGTTATCAATTAGTTTAGAAGTTTTTAGTTTCTTCAAACAGTTGAATGGACTCCTGCTTCTGCATCAGCCAAGAGCTTTTCTTTTCTGTTGATTTTACTTCCCCTAAAGTACAAATTAACTCTATTCTTTCATATTCATTTCCTTGCAGTTCCTCTTTCTCTCATCCATCTCTGTGCTCTTGGCCTTCTCCAGTCACAGCTTTTGGCTACTATTATTCCGAGGCCGAGTCGGGGTCCCTCTCCGGGAGAGGTAAACAACGGCAGCAATGGTCCTCAGATCCCATGGTAGATGATACTCTTTACAGAGGCGGCCCTCGGCCTCGGTTTCTCTAATGCTGTTACCTTCTCTCAGCTCTGCGGGCCTTTCCGCGAGCCCCGGCCCGTGCCACGTCCCGTTTATCCCCTGCCGCTGCACAGCCCCCCTCCCTAAGAAGGCTCTGTCTTGCCTCATTTACTCATTCCATCACTTATCTGCATCATTATGGACTCATGGATATTTATCACATTCTTTGGGATATAACTCATGTATCGTCACATAACTCATGTTATTTATATAACCCAGCTGTGGCCTATGGGATCTCTTTCATTGCGGACTTTCTGCTGCTGTTGTTGTTGAACACCTAAGGTTGGCACTGGAAGGTGGCCCATGCTCATGTTGTACACCATCTCTGCTCCAGCTCTGGAATCAGCCACTGCCCAAAGGAGCCCCGGCTCCTCTTATTGCGGGATTTGGTTAGAAACCAAATCTTAGTGCCCTAAACTGGGGGCTAGGTGTGCTCATGGCTATTGGGCTGTCATTGCTTCTAGAACCCGCGCCTGCAGAGCAAGGAAATAAATGAATATATAGAGAGATCTGTAAGCATCTCTCTCTGTATCACCTGTATCTATATAAGCTACACCGACGTCTCCAATGACTCCATTATCACATGGATCATTCTAGCCTGCTCCCCTTATCTGTAAACTCCCACACCAACAGCCAAAAACCTGGCTCCTGGCATCTACTGTCCATTTACCCAATCGTTCAATCCCGGCATATATGTACAGAACAATGGTTTTAGAATTGTTAATCAGGACCCCCATGAGAGAGAACTGCCACCTATGTATATACAGTTCCTTCTGCCTTAGTCTTCTAGTATCCCCAACTTCCAAACTTACTTACTCAGCATCTTTTTTTAAAAGTGCTTATGCTCTAAAAAGAAAAAGAAAAAGATTTGATTTATTTAGAGAGGTAGAAAGGAGAGAAACATCAATCAGTTGCTTCCCATGAACCCCCCAGCCAGGAGGCCAGCTGGCAACCCAGGCATGTGCCCTGACCAGGAATCGAACTTGCGACCTTTCCGTTTGCTGGATGAGCCACACCAGTCAAGGCCTAAGCACCCTTTTTCTCCTACCCCCTTCAGTAAGGTTACTACAGTTAGATTGTTTTGTCTGCATTCCATCCTGAGATCACCTGACCTCCTATATTTGCAAATATTAAGGTTCACTTTGTAAAGCTCTACAGGTTTTGACATATGTCTAGTGCCATATATTGTACGATTACAGAATCATAGATAATACTTCCACCACCCTAAAAAATCCCCTGTGATTCACCTATTCAACTTCCTACCTCTTTCCTCCAAATCCCTGGCGACCACTGATGTGTTTACCAATCTCTATAATTTAGCCTTTTCCAGAATGTTATATAAGTAGAATAGTATAGCACTGTAGCCTCTTCTACAGGAGTCTTTCATTAACAACATGCATTTAAGATTCACTTACAACCCTGGCTGGTGTGGCTCGGTGGACTGAGCATCAGCCTGCAGACTAAAATGTTGCCGGTTAGATTCCCAGTCAGGGCACATGCCTGGGTTGCTGGACAGGCCCCCAGTTGGGGGCATGCAAGAGGCAGCCTACTGATGTATCTCTCACACATTGGTGTTTCTCTCCCTTTCTTTCTCCCTCACCCTCCCCCCGTCTAAAAATAAGTAAAATATTTTTAAAAATAAAGTCAACTGACCCTTTTTTTTCTTTTGAGTGTCATGCTTCTGCTGTTATAGCTCACTACTAAACCCAAATCGCATTGGTTTTCTCCTGTTTTCTTCCAAAAGCTTTATAGTTTTGCATTTTACATTTAGATCTGCAGTTCATTTTGAGTTAATTTCAGTGTAAGGTGTAAGGTCTGTGTCTAGTTTCATTTTTGTGCCTATTGACATCCAATTGTTCCACTACCATTTGTTGAAAAAACTATCCTTCCGAGGGGGAACTCAACAGTTAAAAAATTTTAGCTTTAATTTACATTTAATAGGCTTAATAATTAATGCATGTAGAAAGCTATTGTTCCAGGAAGTGGAATGTCTTACCAAACCTACCCTGACTCCAGGAGACCCACAAGCAATTTGAACTTCATGCCCCAGGAGGACTGCAAGCCATCAAGATGGTATCTGAGACACTGCTCCAGGGAAAGAACGTCCAGATGCAAAGAATGGCTGGGATGCCAGGAAAATTGCCGGACTGCAGCTTGTACCTGACTAACCTTTTCCTCCGAATTCCAAACCCTTTACCTACTTTCTTCCTGAGTTCCACACCCCTTACCTACCCTTTTCTTCTCCTTGAAATGAGACATTAAGAAGGGTGCATAACCCCCCCACTTCTCAGATCACTGGCCATCGGAATAAAGTGCCCCTAAAAATTCAATCCTTGTCTCTACTTCCTGGTTCTGGTGATGACAGGCAGCGCAAACGCCAACTTTTCCAGCTTCACTTCCTCCAGTAAACTGTCTTTGCTCTCTGTCAAAATGAGTTGACTATATTTGTCTAGATCTACTTCTGGGCTCTCGGATCTGTCCCACTGATCTATGCAGCTATTCTTTTGCCAATCACAAGTACGGATCTTAACTTCCAGAAAGCAAAAATCCAGTGCCCAAGTTTTCTACCCTCATCCGAATTTTCTGCCCAGCTATTTTCTGGGCATAATCATCTCTGAAGGGAAAATTGGGGGTGAGAATGGGTAAGTGGAATCTGGGGCAAAAGCACTATGGCCATGTAACAGATCTGCAGCCTCGGAGTACAGACACAGCAAGGTAAGAGCACAGGTCCCTGTCAGGGAATAGACAACTGTTAGGTACAAAATATCTTTCTGCATGTTTTCTGATGGTCTTAATACATTAATTGGAAACCACCAATTTTCTAAATCACTTCATTTGAACAGTGGCTGTTTCACTGTTAGCAAAGAGTTCTAGCCCAACTTTGCCACTACGATGCCTGATGTGTGTGCTAACCTGAGTTTCAGAAATTTTACTAGGATGCTGGGTAAAGCTGGGAAGAGCTGTTTGCCGGTTGTTTTTGTGAACCAGAAGCATTTACAGAGAGTACGTAAAGTTGAAAAGCTATTTTTAGGGATAATGTAAATACATCTAATAAGCAGATTATTTCTTGCTATCCCTTTAAGCCCCAGGTTTATTTCTGCAGTAATAAACTACAGACACCAGCTACATACCCTAGACCTGTGCTGTCCAATATGGCAGCCACTATTCACATGCAGCTGTTTAAATTTAAGTCACAATTTTCCTTCTTGGGTCCCACTAGCCATTTTTCAAATGCTCAACAGCCACCTGTGGCTGGTGGTCCCTACCATAACCAGACAGCAGACACACAGACTTTCCCCATCATCACAGAGAATTTCACTAGACAGCACTGGCTTACAATATAAAATCTAGGGCCCCTTACATTGGACTTCGTATGGATAACCTACTTTGCAGTCAGTCTAGAATGTCCTGTGATCCAATTTACTTATCCTCTGCTACCACTACTCCAAAGACACCGGGCAACTACGTCCCATACTAATGGCTGGCAGAAAGTAGAACTTACCACTCAGATGTTTGCTGAGTGGTAAGTTCTGAATGAATGTGGTAGTGGGGGGAGTAGCAATGCTGACAACAGGCAAAATCCAGGAGTGCACAACACAAAAGGACCACGACAGAATGTTGCAGGCAGATTACTTTAAAGACCCAAAGAATAGTTATGCATTACAGGCAGGTTACCAGCTTATGCTCATGCTACAAGGTCCACCATCAAGCCTAGCCCATGGTGTGGCACCCTCGACAGTCGCAAAGGAAAAAGAATCTCAGCTTCCCCCCTTCTGCCTAGGGGAAAAACCCAGCTCTTCCGTTCTAGGTCTCTCTTCCCTGTGAGCCTCCTTGCTTCTGCACAGACGCTACACAGCACTGGTCTTCCGACGCTGCTGGTCACCAGACGTGTGGGGGGTTGTCCCCTCGCCCAATGAGTCTCTGTGACACCAGCGGGGTGCCTGACAATTTGACTCAATTCTGACACCCTCTCCCTGGAGAGCGCGTCAGACCCCACCGGAGAAGGGCTCCGACCCTGTCAGGGAAGCATGTACTTACGTTCCCCAGTTTCTGGGAGGGCGTAACAGAGGACAGAGATGAATATCCAGAGGGGAACGATGCGTAGGGTAAAGAGGTTTATGAAAAAGGGCACCGAGCTCCTATGGCGTCTGGGCACGCCACTCTCCCAGCACCTCCAAGTCTGCACCAGTTCAGCAGCTCGCCAAACCCCAGGCTTTGGCGGTTTTATGGACGCTTCCTCATACGTGTACAGCCAATCATCAAGTCCATTTTCAGCCCTTCTCCCTTCTCAGGGGAATGGGGGTGGGGCTGAAGAGTCCCAGCCTCTAACCAGGACTGTTCTTTCCGGCTACCAGCCCTCACCAGCAGCCATCCAGGAGACCAGCCCGGGCTGCTCCGTGAGCAAGAAAGACACGCCCATCACCGGGGAATGACAAGGGCTTCAGGAGCTCTGGGCCAGGAACGGGGGCAGAGACCGACATACATATTTTCCATTGTCTCACAGCAGTTGTGGACTCTATGAAGGGGGTTATCAAGGCCAAATGAAAACAACCTGTCAGGCCTGCATTAGCACTTCAGAATAAATATATGTGACACACTGCTGAACAGAAATTTCATTCTTTAAGCAAACATTAATGCGTTAATAAACTGGATTTGAGGGGAATATCTAGGATATAAAAAGACTTGATGTTCCAAACAATGGGTATCTTTACAAAGACAATATTTCAGTCCATTGTAGGGCTACTGATACTGTCTGCAATGTTCTTATTTAAGTATCTAAGAGCTATTAAAAATTGAAGTATGGAAGAAATGATCTGTATTTGTCAAAACAACAGATCAATTATTCTGTTTATTTAAAAGGTCAAGTATCATCAGCAAGAAAAATCAGAATTTAATTCAAATTAGATTCCTTATTCTTCCCCCTAAAAATTATTAGTTTCATACTTTTATAGGAAAAGTAAGTGACAAAAATGTTACTATATCTCTATAAAGATGAAGGCTCCTACCTTTTTTATTTTCCTTATCAAATCCTGAAACCTGTTAAAAGAAAACAGTTTACCTTTATTCAACGATTCAGCAATAATTAACAAACCAAAGCAGATTATAAAAACTAAATAATCCTACCAGTGATTTGTAGAGACTGGACTCAGGGTTGATTTTAATGAGTTGTAATAGGTCCTGCATAGTAAATACCTTAAGGGAAAAAAAGATTAATGCAGCGGACATTTTTTACATCAATGTTTAAATGATGAATTAGGATGTTTCTGAATATAAAACTAAGAATCATCTTCAGATTAAACAAAAAATAAGATTATAACTGTGTTAATATAAAATTGAAGTTCTTCCTTACACTACTAAATAAATTACAATAAACATGTTGAGGTCAAATAGATAAAATATTTTTCTTGATCATGTAATTAACCTCCAAATACTTCACAATGAAGATGATATGCCTAATAAAAATGACAGAAATAGTTAATGCCTTACAGATGACAAACACTCAAATATCTGATGAACCCATGAATACATGAGTGAATTCCAGGGTCTTTCAACTGTAATCCACTTTTTTTATAGTACTATTGCTTCACAATGTAAATAAATTAAATTTTTACTGCCTTTACAACTATTAATGACTGAAGTATACTGAAAATAGTTTTAAACAAACATTTTGGGTAGCTATTCTTAATATATATTCCCAGTACGGTCTGTATCATTTACTATTATCTACCCTGAAAACACTGATATGATTCATTTTTTACTCATTTTCCTTTAAAGAAAATATTCTGAATGGCATTTTATATTAGTTAAAACCTTTAAGTGTATGAACTAGGTTAATTACTACTCTAATAACTATATAATTGACTGTTACTCATGCAATAAGCAAAATTGTGGAATGCAATTAGAAACTTAGATACTGATGGACCAAAAAAGAATTGCCAATGTTGATAAATAAAATGTGGTTGTTAATGAATAAACAAGCATATTGAAATTTAAGCTTTCAAATACTAACACTGTTCATGTTTTTTTAAAACTTCTGAATATAAAACTTTTGGACAAGTATAGATAAGATGAAGAGAGTAAAAAACAAAGGGACAACACAAAAAGTGCACCCTAATGTCAACTACAGACTTCAGGTCATAATGACGTAACAATGCAGGCTCACTGATTGTAAAAATGTTGATAATGGGGGAGGCTGTGCACGTGTTGGGGTAGGGAGCATATGAGATCTCTCCCTTTCTGCTCCATTTTGCTGTGAACATAAACGGCTCTAAAAAATTAAGACTATTAAAAAAATAGGGAAAATTTTCTATATCTGCCTTTAAAAGAATAGTGTGACTAATATGCTCAAAGGTAATGGTGGAAATAGAGTTAAAATAATTAGAAGAGTGATAAAACATTTTAATATTTGAGAATGCCACAGATTTTTAAAAAATTAATGCATTCCTCACTTCTCTTATGTAAGCACGGAGAAGAGAAACATCTAGAGACAGAGACTGTGGCATTGTAAAGCCACCTTTTGGAAATCTAGATATACTGCCCTGTGTTGCCACTTAGAGATATTGTGACCTTGAGCAAATCACCCACATCTCCAGACTCTGGTGCCTCATCTGGGACACACATACACCTGCAGTGCCACCAGCCCAGTGCCAAGCTCTCAACAGACATTCGACAGAAATGGCAGTTACGAGTCTTAGTGGATTACAGCAATGTAATCATTTGTAGCTCAGTTTGGATCAATTCCAGCTCTGAAACACTGCATGATTGTACACATCACAATTTTACAAAACTCTAATGGAGATTCCATCAAATTAATAACAATATCAGACTTGAGTACTCCTCAGTTGCTATAGCAACTCTATGATGTGACTTTAAAGATGACTGAGAAATGGACTAAGCCAGCCAAGGAGCACTCAGTGATTATGCAGCACTTTGCTATCACCTGGTGGGGGGGGGGCAGGGGAAGGCTGTTTATAGAAAATTCAGAAACAGGAAGGAAAAACTTTACCTTTTCCTCTGCCAAGCCACTTTCTGGGAAGAAAACTGAAAGTGAGTACTCATAGCCACATCTTCGTAAGTGATCTGCCACCAGAGAGTTGGAAGCACCTATTAGGAGGGTGCTCCCTTCCACTGAAATGGACTGGGGCTCCACTTCTCCGCTCAACACAGGGTGCATCAGCTCCTGAATGAGCTGCTTTCTCAGCTGCGTCTAGATCAAAAACAAGAAAAGGAACAGGAGGGAACCAACTCTCAGCAGGATTGTTGCACAGGAGATACACATTTGCCACATGCATTAGAATCTTCCCTTTTATTTCCAGAGGTTCTAGATCCATGAGCAGAAGTTAGGAACTTCTTGGCTGCACTTTTCCTTACCCTGTGAGACGAGCAGCCCACAGGTTCTGGCCAAAGGAGCTCGCTTTCACCAGCTTCCAGGTGGACTAGTGGTGAGCCAGAGCACACGTGGACTCGGGTGTGTCTTCCCTATGAGCCCATGTCAGCAGCTTTTGATGGGGATATCAAGCGTAAGAGAAAATTCTGTTGCTTCCTCACCTCTCTGTGAATTGTTGGAGGATATGAAAACAATATTGGGCAAAACCAGCTTACTGGGCATACTGATCAAGATAAAATTGGGTTCCCTAAAAGGAAATAATAAATGCAAGAGAGAAACCAGGAAACCCAAAGAAGGCTTATTGAGATGCACTTTTGCATATAGTTTTTCCATCTCAACACACCGTGAAATACAATAATTTTCTCACATTTTATAAACAAGGAAATTTAGGTTCAAGGTGAGTAATTTTTTCAAGGTTATAACTAGTGTTATTATTTCTTTGGGTTTTTATGAAAATCTCTAAATTAACTGATTTACTGATATTTGTTCTGATCTATTTTGCATATAATCTGGAAACATACAATGGGGCAGAGCTTAAGAGTATGTTGCCTATATCCATGGGACTCAACACTAAATAATATCTAATGTATTTGTATTAATAGAATACAAGCAAGAAACAAATGGCATTGCTACACCTCTATTCTCTATCCTTCAGCTAGAGAGAACAGTATATAATTACCAGGACAGAAGAGGACTTATACATTGAAAATCCTGTAATACAAAAGACATTTACAATGAGCAGGATATACGTGGACTGCCTCATCTAATACAGTTCAGTAACAGAAATAATAAGAAAGGCAAAAATACAGCATTCTCCACCAGTAAAATTTAGAGGTGGTTTAACTAGATTTGTAACACACTAAGGAAGTAATATATTTAGATCCAGCTTAAGTGATAAAAAGTGATTCAGTCTTATAAATAAGTACTGAAATAGGATAAAATTTAAAGGAGTGACATAGGCAGGTTAAAAGGAAAAGAAGATCCCTAGCTGGTGTGGTTCAGTAGATTGAGTGCTGGCCTGTGAATCAAAGGGTTGCTGGTTCAATTCCCAGTCAGGGCACATGCCTGGGTTGTGGGCCAGGTCCCCAGTAGAGGGTGCACAGGGGGCAACCACACATTGATGTTTCTCTCCCTCTTCTCCCTTCCCCTCTAAAAATAAATAAATAAAATCTTTAAAAAATGTATTTTTTAAAAAAGGAAGAGTAGAAAAAAAATGAAACGACAGTATAGATTAATTCCCATCTTGACTAATACAAAAAACATGCCATCGAGCACTTGCTAGAAGGAACTGCAAAACTGGCTGGGCTTTCCAGCAGCCAATGCAAAGAGGAAAATCTGTTCAGAATTAAACCTTGCATTGTCCCTAAGATAAAAATACTAAGTACAATCATTGTGGGGGAAGGGGAAGTGGGAGAAAAAGAGTCTTAGGAATCCTCAGCACATCTCTCTCAGAAATTGACAGATCGAGTAGCCTCAAAATCTGGAAAAGATTTCATAAACTCCATTTAATATCTATGACTTTGTACTAAACAATAAATACAAATTCTTTTCCAACATCCAGACAGAATATGAGCCTAGGCCACTAAAAAATTTAGCAAGTTTTAAAACTTAGAACTCCTCCACGCCACAGTCATTGAACTGAGGGAAAAAATTAGCTCAGAGAGAGTAAAACTCTGCCCTGCTACTGATCAAGCCGGAATTCCAGAAATAACAGCCAGCTGCAAACGATGCACTGCAGCTGCAGAGCATACAAGGCTAACACAATCCCAACACCAAACCCACCAAGGACAGCTCAGAAAGGATTAGTGTCCATTGTGACTACAGACAGGAAGTGAAACACTCTCAAAATCTAATCCAGAAACACAGAAAAAAAAATGCCATGCCAAGGAACTCAAGGGGCATTCCACATTAGAAAGTGTATTAAAATGCATTATACGCTACAATTAATTCCAGGTGGGTTAAAGTGTTAACTATAAAAACTGAAGCCTCTTTGAAAACTTAAAAGTGAATATTCATGTTCTTAGTAGAGAAAAATTTACTGAGAATAATCTGCAAAATAAATCAATAGATTTAACCACCTAAAAATATAACATCAATATTTTAGAGCCAAATTAAAATTGAACACTGAGATGAAGTATTGCCACAAAAGTGGAAAAAAGATTAATAATTTCAATTAAAAGGGTCTTATATATTAATAAGAAAACACTAACACCCTTAAAAACAATGAGCAGGAGACAAGAACTGCCAATCCATGGAAAACATAAAAATGGCCAGAAAATATGTGCAATCTCATTAATAATCAAAGGAATAAATACTAAGAGATTTTCAATTTTGCATTGGTTCTTATTATTTATTTTTATTGATTGATTTTAGAGAGAGAAAGGAAGAGGGGGGAGGTGGAGGGGGAGAGAGGGAGACAGACGTCAATTTGTTATTCCACCAATTTATGCATTCACTGGCTGTTTCTTGTTTGTGCCCTGACCAGTGATCGAACCTGCAACCTTGTCGTATTGGGACAGTGCCTCTAACCAACTGACCTACTCACCCAGGATTTAGATTGATTTTTAAAATGTCATGATAATAATATTGGAGTGAGGTAAGCATTCTTAAACTGCTGGTGGAATATACACTATTACAATCTTTCTAGAACAAGATGCTAAGAGTCTTAAAAAGAAATGCTCATGCCCTTTGATTTTCCAGGATAAAGAGTAATACAGCAACATAAGTAATGCCACTTAATCTATCCTAGGCAAAAAATGAGAAATGCAATTGAAGGATGTGAAGACCTGGGTATAACCTATTCAACATTTTAAGTGTAAAATATACTTCTGAAATATATAGTAATGAAAACACCTTTGAACTAATCCTACTCCTTACTGTTAATTTACATATAAAGTGTACCAATAAATATTTGCTGCCCAAATTAAATACTCTACAGGGGACTTCAACATAAATTAAACATACATCCAAACACGAGCCTGGTGCCAGGGAAAATGAGGATTTCAAGAAACTTCTAAGGACACAGGAAAATGCTCACCATATATTGAACTGAGAATATACACACACACCCCCAACCCACCCACCACCATTATGCCATTTAGTGATCTATCAGAGATGACCTTCCTCCTTTATGTTTTTTGTATTTTTCAGATAAGTCTGAAGTGTCTTTTTAAGTTGCAAAAACAATGGGGGTACGAAGCTCACTATTCCTTAATTTCCCCTTTTAAGTGTAAAATACACTTTGGAAATGTATATAGTAATGAAAAGACATTTGAGGTAATCCTACTCCTTTGCTATTCATTCATACTAATAAGTATTTGCTGTCCAAATGAAGTATCTCCTTTCACATCTGTTGAAAGGTATGAAAAGTTCTAATTCCTCAAACTCTTTTACGGTAAGCAAATGTTGAATGTTTTCTATACGGGGCCAATGTGCTTCACTCGAGCGTGAGTATTACAAAAACACTTATTAATTCAGGAACCCAGAAACCAGCTTCATAAAACCACCCTCACCTTACTGGAATGTGTTCATTTCATAGTTACTCGCTCTGTGTCAATGTCAGTCCAATAAGCCTACCTGAATATGTTCTAAGACTACTCAGCCTCGTCAACTATTTGAGTCCTGTTCCAGGGTAACGAGTTACGCGAAACAGAGCGTCACTCACCGGTACAACCTATATATCGCGCTATTTTTAAAACCCAAGACCTGGATGGATTTACATGGGGACGACCTGTTACAAGTTACACCTGTGAAAGTTAGAGAACAGCTATGCCTAGAGCTGATACCTTGAGCGTGTCCAGTATACCCCGGTCCTTAAACATCTGGTACAGCCTTTTGCGCAGCTCATCTTGAGTCAACACGTCATACTTGGGGGGCATGGTGGACTGGAAGAGAAGATGGCTCGGGTTACCTGGCCGGCAGAGGGGATGTGAGTTTCTGAAGACGGACCAGTGGCTGACCTTCGGGGAAGCCCTAAGAGGCCCGGTGGGGACGGCGCTTTAACGAAAACAAACAGGACGCTTCACCTCCTCCCGCGCCCGAGAAGGGGCCGGGGTGTCTACCTGGTTCTGCCCTCACTGGGCGGCTTCCTTCGAAGTCAGCCCCGCCCAGCCCGCCTCGCGGTGGGGGCGAGGGGAGTCCCTGCCCTCAGAGCCCAGCCTTTGCGCCACGGAATCGGGAGGCACTAGGCTGCCTAAGGCGCGGCCGCCTACTCCGAACTAGGAACTCAGGCAGAGAAACGTACTTCCTTCCTTCGGGCTCTAACGGGTGGGCGGTGCCGTGCGCCGGGCGCTAGGGCCACTCTCACAGCCAAGGGGAGGGCGGAGACAGCGACCGAGGAGGCCTGGGAAACGTAGGCCGTCGTAGGAGAGGCACACGTCACCCCTCTGTTCACAGCCGGTCCCGCCCCCTCCCGAGGCCCGCCAAACCCAACCACTTCATTACGGAGCGCCGCAGCGCCCGCGCCGGCCAGCGCCACGCTGCCGCCGGAAGCCCCACCCACATGTCGCGAGAGCGTAACTGCCGAGTCTCGCGAGAGCTGTCAGGCAGTGCTAACTGAAGCTGCGGAAGGCGGGTCGCTGCCGCGGGAACTCCCTGGATATTTACGTTGTCTGCGTCTCCGCGCAGGTAGGGAATGGAGCGAAGGTCGGGGAGGAGGAGGCGATGCTCCGGGGGACGTCGGGCCCCCGGGCGACTCGGGTGTTGACCCTGTCTCCATCCTGCTGCGGACTAGGGCGCTGGGCCCAAACCGTCTAGCCCCCGGCTGGCTGATCCCATTACACCCCACTCATTGCAGCCTGCAAACGTCCGCCAGCTCGGAGGCTTTGTTTCTTTTGCCTTGCCCTAGGTCATTCAGCTAACCTAAGGCTCCTTACCCGCGGCACTGTTGCATTTGGAGCCCGAAAGGTCTTTGCTGTGGGCTCCGTCCTGGGCACTGTGGGATGCTGAGCAGCATCCCTTGGTCTCCACCCACTAGATGCCAGTAGCACTTCCCCACCAGTTTTAACAATCAGATATTGCCAAGTACCCTCCGGAAGGCAAAAGTCACTGATTGAGAATCAGTGAGCTAAACTTTGAGTACCCCTGCTTTGCATGCGGTGAGGAAGATAAAAGTGAGCCGGGTAGTCAAGATGCTTAAATCTAATTCGCAATAATGGAAACATAGACAGAGAATTGGATAAGAATAAGATGCATTTTAGACTGGACAAAGTTTAGAAAAAGGAGAGGTGGTTGAAGATGCAAGCCAGGAAGGACACATCTCTGTGGAACTGTGACTTCATCCGGGCTTTAATAGGTGTGATTTGAAGAGCAGAAAAGAGAGTAAATACTCGGCACTCCCGTAGGCACCTGCCCTTCCTCAACCCCATGACAGTGGACAATTGATCACAACAATCTTTCCCGCTGACCACACTTAGTCTCAGAATCTTTCCCAGCACCAGTTCCTGGCTGCCACTACCAGTTGATTAGAACTGGCTCAGGAAAGGAAACCCATTTGCCATCCCCAGTCAAATTCCTTTTCCATTAGGCAGCGTATCGTCTTTAACGATAAGATTGTGCTGCACACCATTCCCTCCCCAAAAGGTCTTTCCCGGCCTCAGTGTAAACACCTTCAGTTCCTTCAGTAGCTTTTGTCCAGAACATTCCCTAGCCTATCTCTCACCCTCCTCCCAATGAACAGTTCAGTTATTGATTCTTTTAAAATGGGATTCTCAGAACTGAGTCCATTCCCCAGAGATGATATTATTAGTGAAGAGGACATGGTCTTCTCTCAGTGCAGCCTAGAATTCCATTAGCTTTTTTTGACCACTGCATCAGGCTGCTGCCTCTTAGTGAGCTTGCAGTAAATGAAAACTTTTGAGTTCTTGCAGTTGCTCTTAAAATAGGATTCCTCATCCTGTTGTTGTGCAGCTCATTTTTTTAAGCCCAAGTACAGGACTTTATTTTTCATCCTATTAAATTCTACCTTGTTAATTTCATACCTAGTGAAGAGATATTTTTGAATCTTGACTTTTGCCTTCGAATAAATTTGCTGTCCTTGGAGTGTTATCTTTGAATGTGATAAGTTGGCATCATCTCACAGTGACTGATTCAGATGTTGAGCTGGGCTAGGTTAAGGTCAACTTCAAAGGTTCCCCAGAGACCCCATACTGTCTGCTGACTTGGAGCACTTTAGCATTCTAGTCAGCTGTGAGTTGTGTCCCTTATTCAACGTATAATGAGTGCTTCCTGGGCCCCCGGCACTGTTGTAGCTCTGGGCTTACCATAGACTCTGTGTTGTCATCCAAGCTAAAGGCCTCTAATTTAATTTTTAGGGAGATACCAAATTACTTCCCCAAAGGACTTACTGGCTCCTGTGTTTCTCTTCCAAGTTTAGTATGACCTGTTCTCAGCATAACCAGGTGTACATGAATGAATAACAACCTCCTGTTTTTGTCTAGGGATTCGCATTTAATGACCTAATGTATAATGAAAACTCCTAGCATGGCATCTGACCAAAGATGGCCATTTAATATGTATTCCTCTTGGTGTTTTAATTTCTTTGAAAGTACCCAATTATAGACTAGGAGATAAGCTTTTTTGTTTCGGAAAATAGGAATAACACTTACCTATTTCTAATGATATGGCTCTTTTCTGTTCTTGCGACTTCTCAATTGTCACTGATCACTGGATATATAATCACATTTGTTAGTCCAAGATATGTAGTTTACTAACACCTGAGGAGTTGTGTTTATTGAAATGTTTAGATTATTTAAAAATATCTCCATCCTGAGGTTCATAGCTTGCGTAACCTTGTTTCTATCACATTTGCTGTTTGAAAATCATTCTCTTTGAGAAAACTGAAGTTCAGCAGGCCTGTGTCCTGTTATTTGTATACCAGGTGCTTGAAGCAGTCGACCTTTATCCCGTGCTTTTTCTTGACTGTAGCCTAAAAAGGCTTGATATATTCCACACAGTTCAGCCCATTTTGGGCTTTTGCCCTCTGAGGCCAGCCTCACAGGTTTCTGGTCCCAGGTCTCATTTCTGTGTTCATTACTAGTTAGTGCCCTAGTTCTTACATTATGTGCACGTCCTCTGTGAGTTCAAGGTAGTCCAGAGCTCCTTGAAGCACCACCTTAATTTCTTTTGCTGCCTCTCTGCGAAAAGCAGCTCAAATCCCCCTAGCTACCAGAGACAGCTGTGGTTTTCAACACCGGCGAGAGAGTCCTGGCTCCCCTCCCTGCAGCCAGCAAGCCCTGTCCCTTGTAATGGAGGATCTCCTTAAGTAACAACTTCAGCAGCTTCTCACTAAGGTGCTGTTACCACTTGAACACTGGCTTCGGCTCTCAGTGCTGAGGCCTCTGACACCCCGGCTTCATCCCTCACAGGGCTTCAGCTGGGCTACTTAATCCTCCCCATTCCTGCATCCCCTTTCCTGGATTCCAGGGTCATCCCCCACTGTGTAAACTACAGCCCCCTCCTCACAGTTCCATTCTGCAAACATTGAGCGCTTGTTTTGTCCCAGGCTGGGTGTTAGGGACTCAGGCTGGAAAAAACCACAGCCCCTGTTTTGCCGACTCCCATCCCCATCATCGCTCTAAGCAGCTTCATCTTGCCGCACCACTGCCCCGCCCCAACCTTACCCGCAGTGCTTGGGAACCCGTTTTCTCAGTAAATGAACTTCTGTTGTCCCCACTCTGTAGGATGCACTTTCTACCATTTTGCTGGCACTTCTTGAGTATTTCCTTTTCTCTCTCATACCTACAAGGGTTTTTTTTTCCAGCTTTCACATGTGTGCTAGTTTCCTACTACTGCTGTAACAAATTACCACAAATGTAGTGGCTTGAAACAACATAAATGTATTACTTTACAGTTCGGTAGCATAGAAGTCCGACATGGGTCTCCCTGGGCTGAAATCCACGTCTCAGGAGGGTACAGTCCCTTCTGGAGGCTCTTGGGAAGAAAGAATCTGCTTCTTTGCCCTTTGCAGCTTCTAGAGGCTGCCCATATTCTGTGACTGGAGGCCCCTTCCTCCGTCTTCAAAGTCAGCAACATGGCACCCTCCCATCAGCCATCTGTAGTCATGGTCCCGTTCCACCCCCCGCCCTTCCTCTCGTGCCTCCTCCTTCCATTTTAAAGCCCCTTGTGATTGCATTGGATCCACCTGCGTAGTCCAGGATTGACTCCTTGCCTTAGGGTCAGCTGAGGAACAATCTTAGTCCCACCTGTAGCCTGGATTCCCTTTACCTTGTAAATTAACATTCACAGGTTCCCAAGATTAGGATGTGGGCATCTTGGTGGGGGAAGGCGGGGGCTATTCTGGCTACCACCACATGTTCAAAACTGACATGTTCACTCTCATCCCTCTTCCCTTCTTTTCTCAGTAAATAGCATCACATCTTGCTATTCTGCCTGATCACCATAGCCACACATTTGGAAACATCCTCAGTTCCCCAGTTTAATCCATTGCCAAGTTCCGTGTAGCTACCTCCTCCACACCTCGACAACTAGTCTTCCTTGGAGATGCTGGAAGGGCCCCTATTTGAGGTGATGGGAAAGTTTAGCAGACACATACACAATTCACACAAACACAGCAGTTACTTTATATGGATTGTGTCACATATTGGACTTGAAGTAATACTTCAGGGGTGGAGGGAAGGTGCAAGAGATCCCAGTACTTTAAAAAAAAAAAAAAAAGGTTTCAAGTCCATTGATCTAGACCTGCACTGCCCAATACGATATCCATGAACCACATGTGGCTGTTTAAATTTTAATCAATTAAATTAAATAAAATTTCACATTCAGTTCTGCAGACACACTCGCCACATTTGAAATGCTCATTAGCCTCCAGTGGCTGCCACATTGGACAGCGCTGGTATAGAACATGTCCATTCTCGCAGAAATTTCCATATGCAGGACAGCACAGAATTCTACAGAGTGTCTCCCTTTTGCCCACTACCTAGGCCTGGTAAGCCCTAAAACATTAAATGATTGTAGATATTCCCTTCCTGACACAATGGGTTGTATGCTTTCTTTTCCTTCCACTTCACCTTTCAGTTTTTCCATGTCAGAATGGGATAGAGTTACTTCCCTTCTCCAGCTGTTCTGTGAAATCATATTCTCAGCAGTTCAAGTTCTGCCCCGCTGTGTAGTTTGTGATACAACCTTTATGGGGTATTTCCTTCCGTTCACTTTCTGTTTATCCTCCCACTACGTAGCACTATGCTTCTCTCTCAGTCATGCATTTCCATAC